CTAAGGGGTTCTTTTTTAAAACACCGGAAGAAATAAAAACAAATTTAGACCAAAGCCAGCGAAGTAAATATTTACCAAAGTTTTATATATATATAAATATAATTTATTAATATAATATAATATTTATTATATTTATATATATAATAAATATTAATAAACAAATATTAAAATAAAATAAAATAAATATTATATTTATATATATATATATAAAACTTCGATAAATATTTACTTCGCTGGCTCTGCTCTAAATCTGTTTTTATTTTATATATTATTATATATATATAATATTTACCGTTCCTAGTTGTCGAAGTATTTACGGCCGAACGAAAAGGAATGAAGCAAATTTTCGTTCAACGTTATCGAGTTATCGAGTTATCTACTACGTAAGATTTTCCACCGACAAGTTTCTCGTCAACGAATCGGATTTCCAATTTTCCTCGTAATTCCTTCCTGCCGGTCGGCTTCTCGCGAGATCGAACCGCGAAAAGAAACACGCTCGATATCGCCGCGGAGGCGTGTGACGTGCCGAAACGAAGGTGTTTCGCTTTCGCAAAAACATGTCATTCAGGGGTCGAATTCGAATTCAGCTGGCAGTCACCAGGTATTATTGATCAAAACTTTACCTATCATCTGACAGCTTGTTGTCCGGTGTTACCATGGCATCGCCGATTATTCGAATCCGCTTCTCTCGTTCGTCTCTTTCTTGCTCGTTCCTTCGTCCGCGCAGAGTCACTCCCGGCCGAACCCGGCGAGGATTTAAACGGGGAAACTTTCGCCCCGGAACTCGGCCACGTCGAACTACCGAAAATTAAGAGAGCCCGCCCATTAGCGCTTCCAGCCTTAATTGCCCTCTTATCGGTGACTTCGACGTGCCCGGCTCCGGGAAACCAGCCCGGTAACTTGTCCATTCGATCCATCGATGTGTCTCTGTTTGGGCCTACACTGCGGTGCACACGGTTATACAGCACAATTTTCAAGAGTTTCGGACATTTACAGTGAGCACATGAAAGTATTTGGACGTCTTTCAACCGTTTGCTATCGAAGCGATTTTAATTGTAAATCTGAACTAATTTTCTCGACTTGTGGTATCTCTTTTTTATGTGACATCAATTAACTTCTTTCGAATTTTACAAATGTATTTAAATGTTGTATTTAAATGTTATTTTATTATACGAAATTGAGCCTTGTCAGTCGTGCAACAGTTACACACTTTCGACAATTTTGTAAATCTAAACTTTGATAATATAAAAATCATCTTGGGACGTGATATAACAATTTTTTTCAGTGGTGCCTCGGTGTCACCAAGTACTCGAGTGCAAAGAGTTAATATCAATTAACTTCTTTCGAATTTTACAAAAATATTTAAATGTTGTACAAATATATTGTACAATACAAAAGTATTTAAATGTAAATCTAAAAATTGCGATTGATTGGAGCGATAAGGAATTCTCTTAGCTCGTAAAAAGTTCAATCGATTTCGATGATTTTTTTATGCGACAAAGTGCATTTTACGCATACGAAATTGTGCCTTGTCAGTCATACAACAGTTAGACTTTCAACAATTTTGTAAATCTAAACTTCGATAATACAAAAATCATCTAGGGACGTAATATAACAATTTCAGTGGTGCCTCGGAGTCACCAAGTACTCGAGTGCAAAGAGTTAATATCAATTAACTTCTTTCGAATTTTACTATATAATTATATATAATTTTACTATAATATGAAATATATGAAATATATAAATATCAATTGTTCATAAAAAGTTATAGATACTCAGTGTATCTAGACGTTCGCTTAAAAATAGACTGTGTTAATGTAAATTTATCAGTTTATACAAGTTGACTTAATAATTTGATCGCTCACTGACTTTTTGTCAAATTTTCATTTTTTGTGGCATGTTCGTCAATCGACATCATTAAAATCACGTATAAAAATTAATAATATTAGTGAATACTCTTTCTAGAAAGACCACCATATACAGTTGTTATATACGTTACCATATGCGTTGTTTGTTATAATCACGAATAGTGTTATCAACGAGATATTAACAATCTTTCAGTTTATTCGGAAAACAAATTGTTGATAGTAATCATATCTTTCAAGTAGAAGTAACGGAGAAAGTGTAAAGCGAAGTTATCTCGTGTAATCGATAATAAAAAATATACAATACAATACAATATCTTCCACGAATGACCTCGCTAACGTCAGAGATAAACAATACTGGAAGGATTTTTTAAATGAAATTTTCTCTTCCTTTATAAATACATGTACAATAAAATTCCATTTAACGCTATACAATTCATTTTCCGGAATCTTAAAAAGGTTTTTGAATATTCTATCACTGTGTGTTTCTCTTCCTTGTACGTATATGTATTATAAATTTCAAGTTACTATAAAAGTAACTGGAAATTCCGGCGAAATTACTTTTTCCTTAATCGCATATTTTCTTTAACAGTTCATCCACTAAGAACATATCTCGAGCGTGAATGCTTCTAATTTTACGTCGGTCATATTGTTATAAATAGACGACGAATTTTTATACAAAATAAAAATTGTCCGCATTAATTTCAACATGCAGATACTACATAGACGTTTCTTCTTTCCTTGAATCATTTTATTTAGTGGAAGATAATGGAACAGTATTTTTAAATTCATTAAACGTTGTTTCTCAAGTTTCATTAAACTTGAAAATTAATTTTTATTATAATCTATTCAGTAAGTTAAACTTCATTACAATCTACGAGGATCTACAGGATTACAAAAATAATTGTCATAATAAATCTTGTATTTTTTCTTTCTGTTGTACTATGAAACAAATTGTTCCGATTATAGTTTTATTTTTTAGTTATTACAGTTTTTTATTATATCGTAGTCACTCATGCCAATATGAATGTTAATTATATTCTAAAATCTAAGTCGCACGTTAATTACGGTACAGTTAATTGTAAGACGTGGGGTCACTAATGATCTCGCAGTTAATGCGACCACTAATAATTTATTATTAAATAATATTATTTAGCTTCATTTATTAATGAAACTAAAATAAATATAACATAATATATGTAATATATAGCTAAAATAAATGAACTTATAATAATAATAAATTGTTTCAATTTGATTCGCCTTTTACGAACATATACGTGTCAATGAATGTGTTAATGGAGGTATTGTATATTAGAAATAATTACACATTTATTTTCAACTTCAATTGGAAAAGCTATCGTTCACTTTCAGATTGTCGGTTTACTGCATAGTTTTATGCAATCGTTCATTTTGATATATTTCTGACTAAGAAAAATGTCTGTTTATGCTCTCTTCGCATATTTCATATTGTTATCACTAGACCGAGGATGTTTATGCCAAATAGAAACTGCCTATCTTGCTTGTAAGAAACGCAAGATATCTCCTACCCTTTTGATAACATTTTAGCATTCTTAGGCTTCTAATGTATTTACGATTTTGTTTCTGATTCAATAATCTTTTTTTTCTTAAAAATGCACAATGTGTCACATTACACGGCGTGAAATATAATATATTACATAATATATACATTATTAATGTATATATATTATATATACGTTATGTAATATATTACATAATATAATATATTACACAATATAATATAATTACATGGCGTGAAATATAATATATTACACAATATAATATAATTACATGGCGTGAAATATAATATATTACACAATATAATATAATTACATGGCAGTGGCATGTAACAGAGAAGTAGATCACATATTTTCCGGGGTTGGTTAAATCAGTTTTGCACGAGTAGACGGCGAATTCTGCGTGTCGAGAGCATGATTACCTTTGCAGTTTTATGATTTGATGGGAGGAGGAGAGTTTGCCCATCCCTGCCCCGGTTTCGGGAGAAACGGTTGTCTATCGTGCCTGATCGGGACAAGAAAGTTCGAGCTCCGTGGCTTGCCAAAAATTTTTCGAGGCCTCATTCCGCGATCGGGCCGATTGCTAGACGGTCGATTTGTTTGTGACACGAGAAACGGGCTTAGAAATTACTTCGCCGGAATCCTCGATTCCCAGCGCACTCGAATCATTCGCCGAGTTTCACGAGAACCACGTTGCATGACCAATTTGTCCCCGATTCAAATTCGATGCTTTTCGTAACCGGCCGACGCTGGACTTGGGCAGAAATCATGCAAAAGCAGTAAACGATATTTCTCTGAATAAAATCATAATGCAGGATGTGGAGAAAATTCTGACTTTGTATCTGTGTATTCATACTCAAAGTCGGGCAAGTTTTATTGAATAATAATTAACAAATTAGAAATTAAATTAATTATGTAATTACACTTGCAAATAGTAATTAAACTTTTTATTCGATTCAAAAATCGTTCAAATAATATCATAAATAATTTATTTATCATTTCTTATTTTCAAATAAAACGATAGTAAATAAATAAATAAATAATAAATAAGTAAATAATAAAATAATAATAAATATAATATATAATAATATATAATATAATATAATATATATAATATTAGTATTAAGTAATATAAGTATAAGTAAAGTAATATATTAATATATATTATAGAGAGTAAGTTACTTATAGTTACTTATATTAAGTAATATATATTATTATATATATTAATTACTATTTATAATATTATATAATAATAATAAATGAATAATAAATGAATAAATAATAAGCAAAATAAATAATAATTAATAAATAACAATTGAAATTGTGTTTATAAATCAGAAATAAATTGTATTATTTTAAATGATCTATATTTTGATCTATGTATATAAATAAGAACTTTCACGTTAATATCGACTTACAGATTACAAATATTTACAGAAAATGGACAGCGAAAGTTCATTTGCCTCTTTGCTTGAAGACTCGTTCTCCGACAACGAAACGGTTGATGAAGCTACCGATTACTCGTCGAAGATAAAAATATCCTTTTTAATCAATTCCTCCAATATACTCTTCGAATATTAAAATTCTACTAATATGACATCCGTTGTATGACGTTTTCTTAACGAAATAATGATCACGATGCATTGGAAGATTTTAGCCAGCGTTTCGACGTGGAACTCCTGCAACAGGCACTGCAAGTATGCTTGTCCTCTTGTCCGGACAATTCATTGGAAGTGAAAATATTCCAAGAAACATTTCCCATCGCGCAGCGTCTATTGTCTCAGGTAATCTTCAATTTATATGTTATCGAAAGTTAATGTTGCAACACACCGGTCTGTGAAGATTATGCATTTACGGTAAAATTGAATAACCGCGATTTAAAATAGTAAAAAGAATAAAAGAACTTAGAAATATCAATGTATTATTTTGAGTCCAATAGAATCATTCAAGAAAGAAAGAAAGCACTTTCTATTTAGTTTTTATTTCTTGCAATCGATGCAGACAACTTTTTATTTTACGTCAAAGTCTTATTATTGCTATCACTAAAAATGTTCAGTGAAATGTTTTGTTGCTGTTTGTTTCTTCATTTTAACTGCTTTATAGAGTGATTTCTGATTATCGCATTTCGCCTTTCTATCGTTTCAATTTCGCTTAAGTATTACAATTGTTACTACTAGTTGTTCCAACATATGGAAATAAAATTTTCTGCTCTAAAATTATATATATTATATATATAATTATATATGATATATTATATTATATTATATTATATTATATTATATTATATTATATTATATTATATTATATTATATTATATTATATTATATTATATTATATTA